TTCCCCTTTACTTTCTGAGATTTCTACCTCTTGATCTTTCAGATCTTCTACTAAACTTTTAATTTTTGCTCTTGTTTTAAAGTTCTAAGCACCATTTTTTTTTCCTTTTTTTTTTGTCTTTCTGAGCCCCTGTTTCCTCTACATGACCTGTATTTGGTTCTCTGCTCTCACTTCAACACTGGAAACTTTCCTCAGTCATCAGTAACATTTGAGCATACTAGGGACTGGTCAACAGTTCTGAACGTTTGGGTGCTGCTATTTGCCAGCTTTGGCTTCCCTGACACAGCTCTAGCTGAGTCTTTTCTTGGGAGATTCCTAAGATCAGCATCTTTAAAATGTTTTGATTCTTCTTCTTTTTTTATTAGTATTGTTAGAATACGAAAATGTGAAATGCAGTTAAGTAGGAAGTTTAGATAAAGTAATTTCATGTGAGTATGTCCCATGTTATATTGGGAACATACATGTGCTAATGTTTATTTGAGCTTTACACATAAGTGGATATATTGTCTTGTATTTAATTTGCTGACCCTATTTTTAAAGGATAAATGTTACTATCAAGAGTTAGAGACCTAAATGTGGAAATGTCCTTGTGCTGCAAGAGAGATATGAGAGTCTTTATATAGTATGACTCATTGATTTAATTTACTTAAACTGTGTAATTCAAACTTTAAAGATGTGCTGCTTTCCACTGGCTAGGAAATAAATTCTCAGTCTTTTACTGGAGTTGGGCAGAACAGTGGCCTGCTCATAGGGGTAACTGAATACCTAAGAAATTCCTATCAATTTTCCTTACGTCTACCCCAACTTTACTTATGATTCCTAGTGCTTCCAGAAATAGAATCTTCGTATTATGCAGTGTTGTTAAGGGACACCGAGTTGAGCATGACTCATAGTGATTCTGCTTTATACTGTACCATCCTCATTCTCTCTGACATACTCGATCCCATTGCTGCAGTCACTGTGTCAATCCACTTCATTGAGGGTCTTCTTCTATTTCATTGATCCTCTACCTTTCCAATCATGATGTTCCTTCTCAAGGGGCAGCCTCTCCAAACAGCATGCTCAAAGCATGTGAGGCGAAGCTTCACCATCCTTGCCTTTAAGAAGTCTGTGGGCTACACTTTCTCCAAGACACTCTAACACTTTCTCTTTTTGTCCTTTTGGCAGTTCATGGGATATTCAGAACTCTTCTTCCACCCCACAGGTCAAATGCATTGATTGTGCTTCCATCATTCTTATTCATATCCAACTCTCAGATATATAGTAAGTTATTGAAAAGACCACGACTTGAATCACATGCACCTTAGCCTTGAAAGTGACATTATTGCTTATTAGTACTTCATTTTTAGTACTTTAGAGAGACCTTTGATAACAGGCTTTCCCAATGCTGTGTGTCTTTTGATTTTTGGACTTGTATATTGATTGTGTAATGATTGTATATTTGACCAAGTATATTGATTATGGATACAAGTAATTTAAAATAATTACCAATTTTAATTTTTTCTCCATCTGGCATGGTGTTGTTTATTGGCTCAGTGGTAAGAATTTTTTGTTTTCTTGATATTGAGATATAATCCGCATGAAGATGGTAGTCCTTGAAGCAAGTGCTTCAAGTCTCCCTTGCTTTCAGCAAGCAAGGTTGTCATCTTTAAACTGTGGGTTGTTGATGAATCTTCCCCTAATTCTGATGCCACATTCTTCTTCATAAAGTCCATCTTCTCAAGTGATCTGCTCAGCATACATACTTTACAGGTGTTGTTGTTGTTGTTTTTGTGTACTGTAGTGTTGGAACAGACTCAGAGCTGACCATCCAGTGGGTTTTCAGAGGCAGTAAATAGCAGGAGAGGAAAGTGTCCATCTTTCTCCCATGGAGCTTCTGGTGGATTTGAACTGAGTGCCTTTGGGTTGGCAGCTCAACTCGTTAGGGTTAATTCTAGGCTTTTGCCACTGCTAACTTAGAATTTGCCTTTGTTAGGTTTGCTAACTAATCACTTCTGCCAAATAACACAGAGACTTCTAAAATTGATGTTTGTGGTCCCTCTTTCATCCTTACAGGTTTATATCTTTTACAGATGACTCCAGTTTCGATAGATGTTAGTGGAACAAAGTGTGTGATTATACTGCAGACTTTACTTGGAGTTTAGCTTTCTCTTCTAAACTCATTTGATCTGAAATAATTTCCTCCATGTTCTAGCGTAGAAGCAGGTAGACCAGGCAGAGACTGTTTCTGTAGCCAGCCAATATGTAAAACCAAATTGGAATATGAGATTTTATGTACTGCTGTTGTTGTTAAGTGCTGTAGAGTAAGATTAATAATGACCTTGTAAACAATAGATCAGAACTGTCCTATCCTGTGCCATCCTGATCTTTAGCACATTTGAGTTCATTTCCACAGGTACTGTGTCTTATTTAGGGTTTTCTTTGTGAACAAAAGCCTGATGTCCCTTTCTAAAGAACAGCCTCTCATAACAACATGCAGAAATATGTGAGCTGAAGCTCCAGCATCTTTTGCCTCCAAGGAACCTTCTGTCAGTTCTTTTGGCCATCCATGGTCTGATCAGTACTCTTCTCCAACACCACAGCTCAAATGCATTGATTTTTCTCCAGTCACCCTTATTCATTTGTCTAGCTCTCAGATTGCAAATACTGCTGTTTGAATCAGATGCTCTTTAATCTTTAAATGACTTTAATCTTTAAGTGACTGATGTCATTGCTCTTCAGGATGGCAGAGATGCAGTAACAATAATTGGTACCCTGACAGCAGACTTTCTCAATGCTTTATGTCTCCTAATCGCCTGACTGCTGATCCCCAGGGTGTTGACTGTGGATCCAAGATAGAACAGTTGACAATTCAAGTTTTTTCTCTATCTATCATGATATTTCCTATTGGACTAGTGGTGAAGATTTTTGTTTTCTCAATGTTGAGATGTAATCCAAATTGAAGGCTGCAGCCCTTCATCCTCTGTATCAAGCATTTTGGGTTCTCACTTTCAGCAAGTGAGGTTGTATCATCTGCTTAACGCAGGTTGCTGATGAGTCTTCCTCTAGGTCATAAAGCCCAGCCTCTAGAATGACTTGTTAAGCAAATGGATTGAATAGGTATGGAGAAAGAATATAGTCCTGATACACACCTTTCTTGATTCTAAATTGCGCAGTGTTCCTTTGCTTTGTCTGGACAGTGGTTTCTTGGTCTAGGTAAAGATTTGTAAAAGCATAATTAGGTGTTCCAGAATTTCCATTCTTCTCAATGTTAGCCATAGTTTATTATGAAATACATTGTCAAGCAGCTAAAGCAAAAAACCTGAGGAATTCTACTAATCCTTCCAGTTTGAAATTGACTGAATATGGAGTCAAGATGCATTAACAATAATTGGTACCTGAGAGGATAAGTTTTGGAAAAAAGAGGAAGGATTGCTCATTGGAAAGAAGGGACTTGGAGAGAGAAATAAGGCTGGTGATTGAATAAGTGAATTTTATACATTCAATGACTTATTAATAGCAAGCAGCTTCTGTAAGAAACCCACAAGGCGATTCTGTATAAATGGATACGGATCATCCTCTGTAGGTCACTGCATTTACATGCGGATGACTTGTGTTTAGATTTTATATTCAAATAGTTATGTCATGTAGTAGAAGACAAGATAAATTCAGAGCCATTTAATTTTTGCTCAGATAAATAAGGATTGAAGATTGAATGACTGGATTTTGTACATGAAATGATTTGTGAACTAGGACATCATGCTCGGGAGGGTGATGGACAGCGCAGGAGAGGGAGACCCCAGATGAGATGGATTGATACAGTTACTGGGGTGATGGGGCTGGTGTGTCAGAATTAGTGAGTCTGGCTCAGGACAGGGAAGGGTTCAGAGCTGCTATACATAGGGTAGCTATGCATCACAGGTGACTCAACCACTAACAATCTATGACAGGTTTGGAAGCAGGAGTGGCATGCACTTCCTAAACAACAAACCTCCAGAAACTCTATGAACTTTGATAAATGTCTATATTTGTAGAGGGGCTTCAGGCCTTTTTTGTTCATAGGGCCGCTACAAGTCGTGCTTGACTTGAAGGCAATCAATAACAACAACATGATATAGAGTAACTAATATCTAAGTTAAAATAATTTTAAACATTAAAAGCTTGTTATTATGTTGTTTTGTTGTTATATATATAAAAACTAAAGTTAAAATTTAATAAAACCCTTAAATCATTGGTAATTTAAGAACAGTGAAAGATAGTTGTTCTTGGATATAGTTTTGAGATATGATTGGTTCTTTTTATGATTAATTTGTTTACTAACAAACAGATTAATCTTGGAGAGGATTAAACCAAGCTACTCCTTGGAGGCAAGGATTCTGGGGCTTCGTCTGACATACTTTGGACATGTTGCCAGGAGGGACGGGTCCTTGGAGAGGGGAATCATGCTTGGGAGGGTGGAGGGACAGCGCAGGAGGGGAAGACCCTCTATGAGATGGATTGACTCAGTGACTGGGGTAATCGGGATGGGTGTGTCAGAGGCAGTGCGGTTGGCACAGGATAGAGCAGGGTTTAGGGCTGTTGTGCATAGGGTCGCTATGAGTCGCAAACGACTCGACGGCACATAACAACAACAACAACAACAACAACAATGAATTACAGAAAGTACTGGAGTCTGAAGGTCTTTCTATATATATTTACTACTAGTGGCATTAGTTACACATCAGTGAATTGTTGTCAATTTATAAGGCGGTCTAATAATAAGGAATTGCAATATCAACCCAAAGGCATGTGATTTGAACCTGCTAACTGCTCCATGCGGGAAAGATAGGCAGCCAACTCCCATGCCATTTAATGCCTTGAAAACCCAGTGGAAGGTCTACTATGAGTGGGTCTGTTCCCGACAGCAAACAAGAACGACAATGAGGAAGTAACACTGTGTTAGAGAGCATCAACGTGCTATAAGTTGTGAGAGTGTGCCTACGGACTTTGTCAGGACTTACTGCCTGTGTTACTTCCTCTAGATCTGTACTATGTTGAAATGTAAAACAACAAACGTAAACTCATGCGGTGAGTCAGTGGAGACAGCTTCGACCCGCTTTGAAACGTTCTCCCTCAGTGGCACTTTTGGAACTCAGTATGTCTTCCCTGAGGTGTTGCTGAGTGAAGTTCAGCTTGCACCTGGAGAATTTCAGGTAAGAACCGGCGCGTGATCCTGCCAGTCAATGTCACAGAAGGCACTTTTTCAGATACTAACACACACACCCCAAGAATTAAAAATGTGATTTAAAACCCCCCATTTGCAAAGAGTAAATTCGGTCCAGGGATCACGAAGGACGCCGAGCAGAGTTTCCTGGTTGGAAATTCTTAGATAATGTACCTTTGAGCGTAAGGAGGTATATGCATTTGTAGAATATCAGAGGACTCTGGGGTATTCAAGGTCTAGCAAGTAAGAAGGAGAACTGTTGCAGAGACAGACCCCTTAGAGAGGCCTCTTGAGATAACTAAGAAAGGAATGCTAGAATGAGAAAGATATTCCTGTCACTACGTCAGTCTGTAGCTGTAGGGATGTTGTGATGGGGAAGGAGTGAGTGTGAAAGCTAGAAGGAGGTGAGGAGTAGATAGCCGGTGAATCCAATAGGCTGCTGGATTCAGCCTCCTGACTGTTTTTGTTGGGGAGGTCTTGCCTTATCTAAAAGGACTGGATTTCTCTTATATTCCCCAGTTCATTGCTATATCAAGGCATGCTAGGCTTCCTTGGAGAGATAAGTTATATCAATTGCAAGCATTTCAGTAACAAATGAGGCTGCATTTTATACTCCAAATAAGTGGGTTTAGGTCTATCAGAGATGATTAGATTGGTTTAGGATAGGTTAGGTTTCAGAGCTAGTGTATATAGGCTTGCGATGATGAGTCACAGGTGACATGATGGCACACAACAACAACAACAACAGTAGTTCAAATAGAATGACATTTGATCTAGTTTTTTTTAAGTATTTGTTCATGAAGTTATATAGGATTGTAAAATATTATGGAATCGTATAAATTAAAGGGAAATCCTGTCCACTTTTCTTTGTGTTGACTAGGTATCAAGAGATGGGCAGCTGCTCAGCACAAAGCCGACATCTGGACCTGTCTTAACAGTAACTCTGTTTGGGAGGTGGTATGAGAAGGATCCAATTTCAGATACTTCATCAGACCTCAGGGCACAAGCACTAAGAGTGATGATGATTATTGTCATGCCCATAATGTACTTATTAAGCTGATGGACTCTGTATTTTCCAGTTCTCACCTTTTTCAGTTTAGTTATTTTGATAAGCTTTCAAATACGGATACCAGGGGAAATAATATGTCTGTGTCTGGATTTATTGATAATTTTGGTCTCTGTTAAAAGTGAATTATTAGTTACACATCTCACACACACATAAACACACACACACACACACACACACACACACACACACACACACACACTGTTTAAATAATATAAGCCACGCAAATAAGAACAATAATTGAAAGAAAATATTTGCAAAATTAGAATACCAATTACACTTGCTTCTTAGTCTTTTCTCAGGATAGTGAAATAAGTTCCTGGTTTATGTTGTTGTTGCCTAGTGTATAGAAACCCCCAAACCAAACCGATGGCCTTTCAGTCAATTCTTACTCGGAGAGATCCTCCACCAGGTTCTGAGGCTCCAAATCTCAACAGGAAGGGACTGTCCAGATTTCTCCCTAGGGGCACTTGGTAGATTGGAACTGTTAAACTTTCGATTAGCAGCACAAGACACAGTGCACAGCTCCACTGGGGCTTCTTAGCTTACAGAATGCATTCCTTAAATGCTAGCTTTATCACTAACTATACCTAATGTGAGAATGGTTACCTGTGGTGGACAGTGTTTGGTGGCGCTCCCCGATTAAAACAAGCTTGGAAGCAGGAGTGGCATCCATTTCCGTAAATAGCTTGCCTCCAGAAACCCTATGAACCTGGAGAAAGGATGAAAGTCACACAAGTGTTGAGGACTTTCATTCATAGGGTTGCTATGAGTCGTCCAGGACTCGATGGCACTTAACAACAACAACAACAACAACAACAGCCAGAAAACCAGTTATGATATATTTTCTCCTAAAATCACACCACCTCTGATTGTTTGAAGTACATATATAAAAAATATGGCTTAGCAACCCAACATATTTCAATGAATAAATTCAACCTCTCCAGATGATTAGCTTTGGTGAATTATCTAGCATTGGTTTATCTTGGAAGGCATTGGGTCAGATCTAGGACACTGTGAAGGATTCTTCAACCCAATTTGTGTCTTCTTCAGCCCTGATTTGGTGTCTACTTACTACTTTCAGGCCTGTCTTGTCGGCCTGAAAACAAAGGAATATAATAGGAGTGATTGAAGCCAACTTCAAGCCTATTGCCTGTTTTTGTGAGGCCTGTGAACGAAAAAATGTTTTAAAAATATTTTTCAAATCATTAAAAATAGAAGATAACTACCCATTTGAGTTAGATAAAGCAAATTCTCAAGGACTTAATATCTTTATTTTTTAAGAGGTTTATATACAATCATTCAAATACATTGCATTTCATTCATGAACACTGTGGTGTATTAATTTCCCACTTTTTTAAACTTTTGATTAGGACTTAATGTTTTTAAATGGTTATACAATTTCTTCAGAGCTGAGCAGTTTAAGTAGACATAAATACTAGTACACACTAGAAGAGAAGGTTTAATAATCAGTAAACATGTACAAAAATATTCAAATCGGAAATGCTTTAGAATGTGTACCACAAAATCAACCCTTTCCAATAAGTAGGGAAGGCCAAAGACCTCCTCTATAGAAAAAAAGGGAAAGGAAACAGAGAAATACTGGATTAAAATAAAGACATTGTTGAAGAAAATGTTTACAACGTTTACATCACGTCAACATTGCTTTGTTTTATACAATGATGTTGCCCCTATCATTTAAAGTTTGCACAATGCACATTCTTTAGTATGTCCTTAAGGCAAATATACTTATGCTAATTTACATTCTGATGTTAATTTTCTTCAATATTGCCTCAAAAATAGAAGCTCAAAATAATGCCCTCATAACGTCTTTCCAAAACATATTCAGGTGTTTTGTGAAAAAATAACAGTGGTGACTTTATTACAGTCAGTGTTCCTTGGCACCACTATAGCTCAGGGTATACCAGAATTTTAGGATATACCAGCTTGGTCATAAGGGAGTTGCCTTTTTAAAAAATTTTCAAAACTCACATTGTAATGGCAGTTAGCATTATCAATAATGTCAAACACTTGACGTGAAAATTTATAAAATCTTCTGTATATGGTACTGGCAGTATTAGTAATGGTAATTCTCATAATTTGGAATCTATAAAACATTGTTTTCTTTATTTCCATGAATGATAAAGAACATTAAGATTTTGATTTTTTTTTCACTTTAAATAAGGGAAAACCTCAACTACCAATGTAAAAAAAAAATCAGAAAATAGTTTGTGCAACACAGAAATGATGTGAAATTCAAAGTCCAGTAAGTGCCTATAACTTAAAGTTGTTGTTTGTTTTTTTTAACTTGAGTCAGATATGGTTGCATTAATTCTGACTCTTAGTGGTGAACACACGTTTGTCGTAGTAGAGCTGAGAGCAGGAGTTATCAGTGGCTGATTTTCTATAATGAGGTATTATAGTCCTTGGAAGGATGGAGGAACAGCACAGGAGAGGAAGACCCTGGATGAGATGGATTGGCACAGTGACTGGGGTAATGCAGATAGCTGTGTCAGCGACAGTGAGATTGGCTCAGGATAGGACAGGGTTCAGAGATATTCTACGTAGTGTCACTGTGAGTCACAGGTGACTCGATGGCACATAACAACAACATAACATAAGAAGACCCAAACTGCTGACTTTTTTGGTTAGCAACCAAGTGTGTTGACTTTTTCTACCACACAATTGGGTCTATTTGTATAGATCTTCGCTATGGCGACTTTTATTCTGCTGCACTAGTGGAGGGAACAGTTGTGACAGAGACAGTGAGGCTTGAAAGTTCAAAATAGCTGACCTTCTATGGAAAATGTTGACTGATCCCTGTTTAAATAACAAAGGAATTTAGTACAAAAAAAACTTATACTACAAGTCAATGGAAAATTGTCTGGAGTGTTTTCCTTTTAAAAAATTTCTCACCTAAGTAATAATATTTCTATTTGCTTTGTATTATATTTCTGTTGTCATTGTTAGATGTATTATTACCATCATAAAAATCATTACCTTGATTAACTTATGATGAAAAGATGCTAAATAGTCTGACATCCTAAACAAGTTAATATCGTTTTTATAAACATGATTGATAGCTAATCACTATAATATTTTGTAAAGTCTTTTTTTATATTTAAAAGGCTCTAAAAGTTCCAGTAGAAATGCTCTCTCATTCCTTCTCATGTACTTCAAGCACAACTATGAACTTCTCATCAAATGAATTTATTTTCTCAATTTTTCTTATAATGATTTAACTAGTCTTAATTTTATATAACTACAGTTAACTGCTGTTAATATTTTTCTAAAAATCAATTATTTCCGTGTTAGATTGACTTTGTTAGTTTGAAATGGCATTTACTCTTCATATCCACGGATTCACGCCCATGGATATAGTAGGATGTGTTAGTGGCCTAATGGTAAGGAGTTGCACTGCCAACCCAAATGCGTGCAGTTCAAATTCCCTAGCTGCTCTGTGGTAGATAGATGGATAATTTTCTATTCTCTGTATTTGTTCCCATTCCAAAGAAAGGTGATTTGACAGAGTGAGGAAATTATCTAATAGTATCATTGACATCACATGCAAGCAAGATTCTGCTGAAGATTATCCAAAATCGACTAGAACAGCACATCAACAGAAAATTGCCTGACGTGCAAGCTGGGTTTAGAAGAGTCTGTGACCCTATTGATATTATAGCTAATGTCAGATGGATCTTGGCTGAAAGCAGAGAGTACCAGAGGGATGTCTGTCTGTGTTTCATTGACTATGCAAAAGGCATTTGACTGTGTAGATCACAAAAAACTGTGGCTTACTCTGAGAAAAGTGTGAATCCCAGAACACTTGATTGTGTTTATGCAAAACCTGTACTTGGACCAGGAGGCAGTCATCAGAACAGAACAAGGAAACATTACATGTTTCAAAACTGAGAAAGGGTATCCTCCAGGAATGTATTCTGTCTCCATACCTTTTCAATCTGTATGCTGAACAGATGATCTGGGAGGCTAGGCTCTATGAGGAAAAATATGGTATCAGGATTGAAGGTAGACTCATGAACAATCTGCATTATGCAAATGACACAACCCTGCTTGCTGAAACTGAGGAGGACCCAAAGAACTTGTTGCAGAAGGTCAAGAATCGCAGCCTTCAATATGGATTGAAGTTCAACATCCAGAAAGCAAAGATTCTCACCTCTGTGCTGATTGGCACATGATAGATGGTGAAGAGAAACAGATTGTTAACAGCTTCAGTTTGCTTGGATCTACAACCAACACTCTTGGTACCATCAACCAGGAAATTAAAAGACGAACTGTATTGGGAAAGTCTGCTGTCAGAGACCATTCCAAAGTACTGAAGAGCAATAGTGTCAGTCTGGAGACTAAGGTGTGCCTGATACAGGCCATTGTCTTTGCAATTACTTGCTATGCATCAGAAAGCTAGACAATGACTAGGGATGATAGAAGGATAATTGATGTTTTTGAGCTGTGGTGCTGGAGAAGAGTATTGAGTATACCATGGACTGCTAGGAGAACACACAAGTTTGTCCTGGAGAGGTTGAAGCCAGGCTGCTCCTTAGAGGCAAGGATTCTGAAGCTTTGTCTAACATACTTTGGTCATATTTCAAGGAAAGATCTGTCCTTGGAGAGGGATGTCATGCTTGGGAGGGTGGAAGGACATCCGCACAGGAGAGGAAGACCCTCGATGAGTACGATTGATTTAGTGACTGAGGTAATGGGGGTAGGTGTGTCGGAGAGAGTGATATTGACACAGGATAGAGTAAGGTTTAGGGCTGCTGTGCATAGTATCGCTGAGTTGCAGGCAACTTGATGGCACAGAAAAACAACAACAACAAAAGTTAAAGTCCTGTTCTGACTCTACTGCATTTAGCACCATCACTAACATATTAATACCCAGTTCTGAATACTTCTTTACATTTTTTTTTGTATCACATGAATGCTTATTTTTTGCTATTTTTGATGGGGTTTTTTGGTTTGTTTCTTGGAATTTTTTT